GCGCTTTATCTGGAATGTTCCCGGTAAAACTAGTGAGGTCAGCATTAGTGTCGAAAACTCACGGAACCTTTTTCGTGCGTCGGGTCTACTTACTGCTACAACAATTACGGAGTGAAGAAGTTACCAAGTAAAAAATTCTGATTTGATAAAGTTGAAGGAAATCAAACCAAAAATAATACCAAAGCGATAGGTCACTGTGTTATCATATTAACATCGACCGTAACCAATAGAGAACACTGGTCATGTGTGAGTGAATACTATATATGGCAAAAAATACACCAGTTCAGGAAATCTATAATGTCACTTACATCCCGACCTCAACTTGTCATTTTCTTTTAACTCTCGGTCTCGCGTAAGGTAAGGACGTTAAAAGAGATGAATTGGGGACAAAAGAACACTCTTACGTGTAACGTTTCCTCGAAATGATTACTAGAATGTTGTTTCACACATGCATTATATTGTGGGTTTGAGAATGAAACATTGAGTACAATTTCACGTGAAAACATTTGTTTAACCGGGCGTTGTCTACAGCAGTAGCGGCAGTTGTTGTTTGTCCTCGTGATGAAGGTGAGTTTCTTGTGTTTCCGTATTGGTGCCAATGTGAAGGTATTTGGCTCTGAAGCCTCAGTTCTATCTTGCTAGCTGTCCAGCTGTCATTCGTGGTGGTGTTTCTCATATAATGGAACTGCTGTTGCTTGTGTCCAATATCATTTAAGGTTCAGCAAGTGCTTCAGTAATTATCGTCTGGTCGTCACTGTCTGTTAGTGCTTTGAGATTCGAAGATTCTGTATAGATCGCTCATATTTGGACTATAATAAAGCTAGGGATTCACCACTGTAAAAACTTAGTCAAGTAATATAAACTGACTGCAGTAGTATGTAAAGATAAGAGAAGTTATGTATAACATACGGCAAATGTTGTTGTTTATTAGTAAATTAGTCAAGAGTCGTCGGGTGCAAATTCCAAGGACCCTATGGGTTAGTATTCGGTGTTTAAATGGACGTATTACTTCCTTTGTGGTGTCATATCTTCCTAGGAACTTTGAAATAAACTACATCTTAGAGATCTCTGACTCAAACTTCTGTAAGCCACATCACATCAGAAATGATGCCAGGACTGGCAATGTATACTTCATTTGTTCCAGTTAATGATACAATTAACTGAATAAACATGCATCGTTATTGATGTTCCGCTAGATGCCGAGTCCTAGGACCGACAAAGGTCATATACACTACTCCTTACATTAAGGCTACGTAGTGAGGCACGTAGGTCACCTAGGGAACATTTACCACAGCAAAGAAAGCATCCTGAATATTAAACTGTTACCAGTAACGTTTTAATGACTGTCGGTGCTCCGTCAAACTGGACTGTCATTTGTATACTCATCAGTGAGCGAGTATTTGAATGAATAGTCAATCCACATACAGAAACCCGAGAGGCGCAACTTATAGTCGCATATCCGAGACAGGTGGTGAGACTATAATTTATGCTAAAAGACCCCTAGGATGTCCGCTTATATACCACGCCATTTGACTCGCTAACTTGACCACGTGTAGGTCTAAAATACTTCGTGTTCTCAGTATTTCGAGTGATGGTGTTACAAAAATGTCTTCGGTTACATAGTTAGGTACCCGATAATTGCATACAAAAGTATATACCCGTCAGTTTTCCCAGTACATGCTAAGGTCGGCTAGCTTGTGATCGAGGTTCTTTCACAAAGAGTTCTGTTTGCAGTGGTACAGATTATCAGTAAAGTTTTTACAGTACGTTAACAAGTATTTGTCAAAACTTTTTCAAGGGTCCTTGTTAAACGGAATATCCAGTCGAAACCGTAAAATATCTCGATCTTAAGCTTGCAGTAAAGATTCCAACATATTGTTAATTAACATGTGAAGTATTCACTAAACCGTTTCTAATGGATAAACCACAAAAATGATGTGCCACCGTTTTCACCCGCTAGTTAATGTTGAGTCCCGTTATCTCACCAGGACTAATGGGCCAGTCGTTGGGGATGTTTCTAGTTATGTAATTAACTCAATCATCAAAGTAGGACCTAGGATAGATGTCCGTGGGCCTAAGTTGCCATATAACATTAGTTTGATGAAATGAAGTTTACAGGATATATTGGTGGATATAATTACATAGTAGCTACCGCAAAAAAGACTAAGGATGAAGAACAGAATTCTGAAGGACGGCGCGGTGTGTCTAAAGTATTTTAAAGGTTCGAGGTAGGGAAATAAAGAGTATGTCTAGGCCATAGTAAATGATGAGTCGTTGCCTAGTGTCTCCGGCTGCGAATTAAAGCTACAATGCAGATCCCGACTAGACAGTTTGCATTTGTCAATATGGTACAGTAGTTTCATAAACTAATATGTCTTGATTTGGCTGCTGTCTTCTGCTAACGTACAACGACGAAAAACATTGCCCCTAAAGTTTGGTAGTAATTACGCATACGTGATGGGTGTCCTGATCACCATATGACGCTCACTTAATTTCCAGCAAGTGTACGGGCTGCTCCCAAATGTCCTTGTACGGCGGAGGGTGGGGCGAATCGGCTCTCAAAATGCTCACATCGCCTCGTGTATATAGCCACTGTCGAGGACGTCCTACTCCCTTGTCGCGGCGGACGTTTTGTTTGCGGGATTGAAAAGGCGAAAAGCGAATGTCCGGCGCTTTAACAGGGTTGGTAAATACGGAGAATCCCTATAGAGGATTTGGAAGACACTGATTCCGATCCAGCAGTGCACATGGGGTCTAGGATCCTGAGGAAACAAAAGACGTATAACGCTATTGTTGATTACTGACTACCATGGGACTGCATCTACTTTCATTGTTTCAATGCCTTGTTGGTCAGGTCTTTAGGTCGGAGGCCCCAGGTGTGACCTCCCAAGAAAACCATCTGCATTGTTCTGGGCACCCAGGCAGTATCACAGCCCACACACAACTCAAGTGACTTGAGTGACTCATATGTATTCGATGCCCCTTTGTATCAATGTTTGTGTGTTCAAATAAGTAAAATACACGGGATGGATGCGTGTCTGTCCATTGGTTGCAGCAGCCTGCTTTTTATTACATGAAATCCCTGGGACGAAGTTTTATAAATTAGAGGACATACGTAGTTTGTTATCCTACAGTCTTCGGAGTTTCACACATGTTAGTGCTATTGTTGTCATGATTAAGGTTCTAGGTAAAGTTGGCGAACCTACAGAGGTTTCACTTCGCCATGGACTGTAGTGGCTAGGCACGCGCAGTACGTTCTAACCATCGTTCCTTTGATACGTGTATCTTCATCGACTGAGATCGTTGGGCCACGTGCTGCGTATGCCTGAACACCGATTACCACGATGGCAATGCTGACTAGTGTACGAGATGATTGGGAGAAAGTTAGGGGCGGCCAAACTAAAACGTAGCATCAGTCATTGAAGTCACTAACTTCCAGTTAGAACCATGTTGGTAGATGCAGACTACTTGGTTATGGTTCGCGTGACTACCGTAACTGGTGGTTGGAGACTCTGGGTGATATGACTCGAAATCGATCACAATGGCGTCGGTGTTTTCTTATTATTTATTTTAACATAGAAATTGGTACAAGGAAGCACCGAATACATATGCGCCACACAGACCTCATTTGATATGTGTGAGGGCTGTAATACTGCCCGGGTGCCCAAACCGAAGCAGGTGGTTTTCTTAGGGGGTCACACCCGGAGCCTCTGACCTGAAGTTCTGATCCACAAGGTAGTGGAGCATCGTAAGGAGATGCAGTCCCATGGAAGCCGGTGACCAACGATTGGTTCATGCTCAATTTTTTCCTTCAGGATCATGGAGCCTATATGCACCTTTGGTTTGGAGTCAGAGTTTTCCAACTCTCCTAGGTAGATCCTCTATATCCACCAACTCGGATTAAGCGTCGGGAATTCGCTTTTCGTAAACAACATCGTCAATAGAAGGCAATGAGTAGAACTTCTCCGGCAGAGGCTATATACGCGTGGCCATGTAGGAACATTTGGAGAGGGAGAGCGGACTCTCTCCACTCTCGGCCGTACCAGGACATTTTGGGGCTCTTCCTGTACTATATCCTTATGTACAATCTTTCTTTTATATATTACCACCATTGAATTAACTACTTCATGAATCCTGTGTTCATCTTGTTGTGCTAATGAGGTATGGCAACTTGGACCGATGTACACAGGTACCTGGTCCTACGTTGTAGTTGACTGGCTGACTGAGTAATACCAATATTATAGCATATAAGATAGTTATAAGATAAAAACCAGGGTGTTTAAGCACTACTCTTAGTTACTAAATGCTAATCTAGGTCGAATAGGAAGGTCTAGGTTCTCTTCAGGTACCAGTAATAATTACAACCTCTGGTAGATCCTTAGGTAACATAACTTAAATCTAATCGCAGTGATACAGACATGTATCCGTTATTCTACTTTCGATTTCAACCATTGTTTTACATTTTGGTATTCATTTTTTGAGCCATCTATATCTTAATTATCAATATTACAACACTTAGTATTTAAATTTTCCACGTCCACCAATGTGAGCTGACACAAAGCTGTGTACATTCGTACACGACCTGTATCAATTTTCGATCGGTTAAAGCATTCTTTTTCACGGCATTGCCATACTAAACAGTATATAACTTGCATAAGACAATCCTATTCGGCTCTAAATTACTTGGTATCTTTATTCACAAATCTCATTAATTCCATGTAAACCTTTTGTCCTTTTTCAGCTTAACATAGCGTTTCCGTCCAATGGGACTCAAAAGTGTATTGAGGTCGATGAAGAACTTAAACTTCGCCCATTTTATGATAAACGTATGTCCCATGAGCTTCCAGTTGACTTTCTGGGGGACGAATGGAAAGGATACATAATGCGCATAACTGGTGGAAATGATAAACAGGGTTTCCCTATGAAACAAGGAGTTTTAACTAATGGCCGTGTCAAATTGCTGTTGAGCAAAGGAAGTTCATGCTATCGTCCTAGACGTAAAGGAGAACGACGACGCAAGAGCGTACGTGGTTGTATAGTTGATAGTAACTTAAGTGTCCTTAATCTGGTTGTTGTACGCAAAGGAGAAAACGATATCCCTGGCTTGACTGACGTCAGTATCCCTCGACGCCTTGGGCCTAAGAGAGCTTCAAAAATTAGGAAATTGTTTAATCTGTCGAAGAAGGATAATGTTTGTCAGTTCGTTGTGCGGAAGCCTGTCCCAGCTAAAGAAGGAAAGAAAGAGCGTTCCAAAGCTCCGAAGATTCAGCGTTTAACAACACCTCTGAGATTACAGCGTAGACGCCGAAGGCATGCACTGAAGCGTCAGCGCATAGAAACCCGCAGAAAGACACAAGAAGAATACGCCAAATTGCTTGCTCAGCGCCGAAAACAGGCTCGCGATGAGCGTGCAGAACGCAAGCGGTCGCGAAGTCACTCCTTACGTGAATCTAAAGGACAAACAGATAAAAGTGCATCATAAAATTGTCTAACTACAAATAAATATGTGGATAAATTTGCGTGTTCTCAATGTTTCTGATGTGTTGTTTGAAGAGTTAGCTATTTAGAAAAGTTCACTTGGGTGAATTTGATGTTTTATTTACAGGATTACATTTAGGTGTTTCATATCTATACAAAACACGTTACAGATTAAGCGTAGTGTCTTGAACTCCGATTGTAATATAAAATCTACAAACTGATGGCTTCTTGATTTATTACGGCCCGATTCTTAAGTCTAAGCCAAACACTTGTAATAAGTTTAAACAGAATAGGGACAACAGGATTTGCAGAGTAAAATGAATTTGTCCGTCTATTTTACGTTTTCTCATCAGTCAGCTACAACGTAGGAACCAGGTACATATATGTATCGGTCTAAGTTGTCATACCTCAGCACAACAGGATAAACACCAAACTCATTGAAGCAGTTACTTCAATCGTAGTAAAAAAGATTTCACATAGGGATATGATACAGGGAGGAAGAATTACTTCGTTGAAAGAAAGATATAAAGTTATTGCAGTTTCTCATCAGTTGCATACAACCCAAGATTACAATCATTGTTATAATTACTAACAAACGTTTAGCATTCTATAGTTTGTGAAATTTAGATAAATGTTCTAAACGTAGCCAAAACTATAACAATTAAAAGAATAGGGATACAAAGTGTATGAATAGACATAGTTATGACTGATGTGTATTTATTTGTTGGGAAGTTAAGAATTCAAAGGTCATGTCAAGGTAATGAAATTAATAACTTACTATGCGATCGGTCATGATAAAATAAAGGAATATGTGGACATTTAGAATATGTAAGAGTTAGATATCAAAAGACAAAAACAAACATTTGGGGACAGAGTTAGAAAAGAATCGAAAATGAATAGAGGTTATTGGGTAAGTACCCAGTCACTATGTCAGCCAAAGGCTAACTACACCTTGTACGCATAGGTTAGATCAGGGACGTTTTATGGTGACTGAGCAGGTTATCTCTCATATTCAACTGTGATCATTTCGTTGGGACGAGTTTCCGAAGTGACTAAGTAACGGAGAGGTATGGTCCTTATCATCAGCATATCTGGAGTAGTATGTACATTAGTTTCGTTTTTTAGGTTAGCCATGAAGATATCGGCCAAGATGGGTCCTAGTGGTGATCCTGTGGCCGCTCCGTCAGTTTGTTTGTATAACTGGTTGTTGGATTGGGAACGAATCCCGTTTCGCGCAAAGGAGTAACTCGCTTTGAGGTTAAAGAAGTAATTCAGATTGTTTGCTAGCTATACTATTTGCTCCTAATGTTATACTCATAAATAATGAACACATCATAATATACCGTGAATCTGTCGGATGTGTTCAAATGATCCATTTCTTTGGAACTAAACTATTGGTCCTCAGTGTTCTACAAATTGGTTCTAATAATTTAGCCAACTTATGATTTGGTGAATCAATCATAGACATTATAGGTCTTAACGGGATGTTGGATTTGTGCACTTTATTAAGACCATGTACGAAAAGCAGTCGTGATCCTTTTGCCTTCAGATTTTTGTTAGTTGAATCATCAATCAGTTCATTAAGACTTTTATTGACTGTTTTCGATTATTGCGATCGTACCTTAGATTTGTTAATTTGATATCTTAGTGTATCATTGTTAATTTGGGACATTTTATGCATATATTCTTTTCAATTCAGTATTACATCGGGGTATTTTATACATGTAGTGTTTTTGAGGATTTGTTAACAATTATATTAGTAGTTATAATTTAAGTTGTATGCAGCTTATGAAAAACCGTGAAATAGACTGATGAGTTCATTTTATTCTACAAACCTTTTTTTGGTCTGTTTAGATTTATCAATGGATTTAGTTGTATGAAACTCGTAATAAGATCTGAATATGACGTTTAATAGTAATTTCTGTTGCAGGAATCTTCATCACATTCGAGTTAATCAGTGTTTTGTAGGCATCTGGAGTTACATCATTACATAGTTCACTTACGGTGGATGTCAATACTTTCGTTCTTTGTGGTTCGTTTTTGAACCGATTCTCAGAATATACCAGTTAAAGTACAAATGGGACAATTCTGAAATTATCGTATTGTGCTCTAGCTGAGTTTGGTCTGTTAAACGCGATAACAATAAGGGAAGGCTTTTTAATTTGATCGATTTTACGGTATTTAGTCATCGATGTTCCCAAATTCCCTCTCATGTATTCCACTTTGTGCTGTTGCCACGTAGCCTGATTTTTCCAAGGTTCCGTTTTTCTTTTGGGACGTTATCGTTTTCAGTTGGTCGATTTCCTTCCAAGAATATCATCTGCATCGAATTTCTATAATGTTCATAAACTATATTAGGATGTACATTTCACTTCTGTCACTGATCATAAGAACATTCCTTAAAAAGTAAAGTCCTATAAGCACAAAATAAAGCATTACTCATCATGACTTGTTGCTCATTTAGATTCAGTTAGTCAGCCAGTACACATTATTACACTAGGTTAATTTTATTTTTAAAAATCTAAAAGAGTTGAATTGATTGATAAACGATATTTAATAAAACTTCAAACAAAGGCCATTTGTGACCAGCTTTATATATAATCATCTGCGTTTTAGATGGTGGTTGGAGGTAGTCAACAGGAAACCCTGGACCCGGGTTTCGTGCTACTTGGCACTCGTCAGCAAGGTGTACCTGTAATCTTGAGGGAACTGATGCTCCCTGGCGGATTCGATCTCGTGTCACCCAGCTTCACAGTCGATAGCATTCGATCTGCACTAATAAGGACTAGACAAGCATGACATTGATCACCACCCAGTGATCAATCAATGTGATTACATCTCAGCCCTACAGGCGGTTGGTCACGGCTCGGATAGCTCAGTGGTAACGTCTCTGACTGTGAAGCTGGGTGACACGAGATCGAATCTGCCAGGGAGCATCAGTTCCCTCAAGATTACAGGTACACCTTGCTGACGAGTGCCAAGTAGCACGAAACCCGGGTCCAGGGTTTCCTGTTGACTACCTCCAACCACCATCTAAATCTCAATACATAGTGCCCGCAGTGTCGAGTCACCTAGACTGTTGGCCACATTGCAACATGATCGATAGCATTCGATCTGCACTAATAAGGACTAGACAAGCATGACATTGATCACCACCCAGTGATCAATCAATTGTGAATCATCTGCGTTATTTAACAAAACTGGCTATTCATATTCGTGTTTGCTTTGTTAGTATACCAACGAAAAAAGATTTACTACTATAATTATAGAGTTTCATAAAGTCTGTAATCAATTTTACATTTTTCATGTTGCAGTTTATTTGATTGATCGTGGAGATTTGATCGTTACTTGAGATGATTTTCGTCATTCAAACTAAGAGACACTGGAAACTTGCTTTGTTTTTAGCTTGGAACGTTTTGCCAGTGTACAGCCAAGATCCTGAAAGGGACCGTTTATTAATTAATAACTAGTCTCGAGATGAATTCCCGAAGTTGTGAGAATTTGTGACTGTTTCAGTTCAACAATGTGGAAAGCTAGATAGGTACCACCGATTACAATGTACAGTCGTTACTCATCACAATTCGACTGAAGTTGGGAATTTGAATTATTAAATTACAATTCAGTTGCCTAACTTTTTTTCGCGAGAATTGGAGAACAGTGTATGATAAGAGTACTCATTAGTGGACAGTTATTGATTATGACTAAAATAAGTCTACAGTACTTCCTGGTTATCAATACTTCCCCATTTAAGGTCAATCTGTGATGAAATCAATTAGAGCAGTTTTTAGCTTAGTCAAAATCCTACTTCCAATATTTATGCAGGTGAGATTTATGGACAAACAGAGTGAGAGAGATGATACCATAATCGACCACAATGAACATGTCCTAAATGCTATCAATAGGTTAGACAACATGATAAATTTGGTAGCGATCATGAAATAAGAATAAAGTATTTATAATGATAATAATAGATGAGGATGGTATAAGGAAGTGGAAACTGATGAACTTATCTTGGATACCAGCCCAGTGGTCTTAAATCTAAGCACTCGACCTGAGACCTGGATGACCTGAGTTCGGTCGCTTGATAAGTCATGAAAGGTCCCTGTTGAGGAGTTCCGCACTAAGACAAAACAACAGACCAGTCCTTCCTGGTGTTCAATTATTGTATAACTAATGTCAGTTCGAGATATCAACGATACCTCAAAACTCAACTAGCAATAACCAATACATTCACTAAACTCGAGAAGCAATTCCCAGAGTTCTGCTGAGATGTAGCCGGTAAAGTTGAAAGTATATTGTGGATTTTCACTAATTATTGTGATCTTAGCGGTAAAGTATGTGCTGGCATACCATATGTAGAATTAGTTTTACTAGGAATGTTTGGTGGAATTATTCGCATGAAACAAGATGTAAATATTTGTCAAATTTGTTCAAATTTTCTATTTTAGAAAGAACGCCTCATTACATTATAGCACTTTTTTCGTTTATTTAATAGATCCAGTACAAATGAACCAATATATTCAGATTATTTTCAAAAAATGTGAACAATTAATCCGTTTCCGAATGTTATCATCGTCATCGGTTGTATATTCATCATCATCAGTTCCTCCACATATTCCAATTATGAAATCAGAAATTGTAAAATATACCCAACCGAAACCAGGTCAAGTTAGTGATCTACTTGTCTTGTTTTATCGCTTTTTTAATAAATAAACAATCAGGAACTACAGTCTCAAGTATACCGACCAACTCCGATCCCATCACATGGTGGATAAATAGTGCAAGTTTAATTGTACATGGCTCTTGTAAGTGAATTATGCACTTAGGATACCTACCCATAATGAATAGCTCTGTCGAGGTCAGTTCGACCATATATGTGTATACGCGAGAATCACAAGCATTATTATTTGTATTTTGGGAGTAAAGACGCCCACGAAGTCTTTGTTCTTCTTCTCCCACATAATTAAGCTGGTCGTTTTTCAGAAGCGTACTTTAGTGATGGAATCAAACAGTAAAATGCGACGACTTCGTCACTTTGACTTCCATAGTCTAATATACTACGTCAGTGCTAAGAAGATGTAACTCAGTTGTCAGTTATCTAAAAGGAAGAGGAGACTATGACACACTTACGTAGTTACTGGATAAATTCGCGTCGATTACAATTACTTTTTTAAATCATGGGAAGAACTGATAGATCATTCAATCGATCATAGTTAATATATAACCTGACACAGATGTTCAATAGTCGAAGATTTTCTGCTTTCTATCAGCAGAGCAAGCGGAAATTCTAAGACACGAAAAACCATAAGATTCAAACGTGATCATGATATTAATAATATCAAACAGCAGACAAAATGTGGTTCAATAAAAAGGAGTGGTTATCTCCACGTCAATACAATCTACTTTGAACTATTTCGTTGCTATGATGATAGATACTTCTGGTTATGTTTGATTTATTCATTGCTTTCTACAATAATGTTTAGGTAATTAGGTTAAAGGTGTATAACTTACGCAGTAGTTCTCTCTATGTTATTTTGTAAGTGAAAGTATAGTCACTTATAATCAAACTATCAAATAAGCAGCGCTATTGTTAGGCTTTCATATGTATTCTTATAAAAAACGAATATGATTCAAATTTGGATGCTACTATCGTATATCACAAACTTCAATTTATTAATTTATTTGAACACATAAATGTTGGTACAAAGGGGCATCGAATACATATGCGCCACACAAGTCACTTGGTTTGTGTGCGGGCTATGATACTGTCCGGGAGCTCAGACAAAAGCAGGTGGTTCTCTTAGGGGGTCGCACCTAGAGTCTTCAACCTAAAGGTCTGATCCACAAGGCAGTAGAGCGATGTAAGGAGATGCAGTCCCCATAGTAGTCGGTGACCAATGATTGGTTCACACACTATTTGTTCTTTCAAGATCCTGGAGCCCTGTTGCACCATTAGTTTGGAATCAGTGTTTTCCAACTTCTCTATGTTGATTTTCCGTGTCCACCAACCCGGTTAAATCACTGGGCACTCTTTTCGTCCTCTCAATTTCATACACAACACTTCCGCGGAGAGAAGGCAGTGAGTAGGAATTCCCTGGCAGTGTTCGTATGCACATGACCATGTGAGAGCATTCGGAGAGGGAGAGCTGACTTCCCCCACCCTTGGCCGTACCAGGGCATTTCATTAATCATTTTTCAGTCAGTTGTATTAAAGTTTAGTTGTTTATCCTTATTGTACATTGATTAACTGCCATTTAGTAACCACTGTCATGTTTCCCTTGTTATTTTTAATGGTGATGGACCAATTTTTATGTGGTCATTAGTTTAAGTGACTCGATGTCAAGTGCACTGTTTAGATCTTAAATAATTACCAGGATTCAGGAGAAAACTTCCCCTAACCTAGCTTTCGCATCAGCTATTGTTTGTCAGCTGGTATGTACCTGTAGTATTAAGAGAACCGTAATCTATGTGGGAATTGAGTCAGCATCACTCTGTTTCACATTCTACGACGTTACTACTCAGCTGTTCAGACTACGGCTAACTTTCTGTATGGCTGAGCTGTTTACATTGATTGGTCAGTGAATAGTACGAAATGTTATGTTCGTCTATAGTCTCTTACTTCTGACTGAACTCTGTTGATCAAGATACAATGTGGCCACATGATTGCATGTACGCCTTGATGACGAGTGCCAGCTATTACGAAACCTAGTCCAAGGATCTTTTTCTGTCGACTGCCTTATATCACTTAACATGTTCCTATTATAGTTTGGTTTAATATTATCCGAAAAGTTATCGTTTTCACATAATTTCTCGTGAATTTTGTCGTAAAGCTTTAATATTAGTACAACTAATTAACTAAATATTGCTTTCTTGTATTTGGGTTTATACCTGATACTACATCTAACGATTTTGACCCTAGTAATCAGATCTTAATTGATTGGAGAATTTGATGTACAAATGAAATTCGTTCAATGTCCAATACAATTCTATCATGCTTATTTTATGTTTATATTCTGTGTATAAATATGTTATCTTTTAACATAAAAATCCCATTTGTCCAACTACTAGTCTTGTCTACTTTCTAATCATGAAGAGAATCTCAAGTCAATAGTATGATCTCATGAGTATTCTTCACTCGGTTACTTCATATCATTGTGTTCACCTATTGACTGACACTCTATTCAATGACTTCGACAGACAAGGATTCAGTCCATTAAATCATTAAGAACTTCCTCTATAATTGTACCATATTCATCATATGACCATTAATGAATGTCACTATCGGACAAAAGTTGACAATTCGTAAATAAAATTGTTTGATAATAAAAGCATCTCTTTTTTCCTAAATAATGAGTAGGATTTTGCTTTGATTGATGTTAGGGAGATCCAGAAAATTCCTCGAAAGCCAAAAAGGCTTTGAAAACACTGAGAAACATCTTATCTAGTCAGCATTCAATAGAAGTTTTACCAGAAACATCTAGAAAGTGAAAAGTCACGTACCGAGTTACTGATTTGGTGATTACTTATACTACTACTATGTTTAGTAGCATTCCAGAATTTTCCGCAAACCTAGAGACATCTAAAATACCATAAAACCCCCAAATTTCCTGAACATAAAGGAACCATTCACTTGATATTGTTTTACTTGAATCTTCCCATTGATGTTTTTGGACTGAAATTGATCAGTCTCTTATTGGCATATGTGCATACTGGACGAAACGCGCGTCCTGGATTCCACTGCTAGCCACTATCCATGTTTGCTTATAAAGGAGCCATATTTCGCGCCTTTTCTCTCGTGTTCAAGTCGCTGTGTAGATCCAGCCTGGGGGTTATTAGAAGAGTTTGGGAACCGAATCTAGGGTTTAATTGAAAGGCTTATCAATTGACATTTTTTAAATGTTTCACACGACTAATATACATTGCGTATTTTGGAATCATATTGAAAGTTTGTAGCTGATGTAGATAGAGAAACAAAGAGCCTATGACAAACAACAGAAGTTATTTTTGGGAACATTATTCCACTTGATTCAAAGTTAGTAAGATACTAACATTTAGTTTTGTCTATGGTTTATTCTATAAACCATAAGCTTTCGTTTGATACATGATTCGCTGCCATACTTTTTTCTATTCAAAAATTGTTATGATTTATCTGTAACCTTTTCCACTACATTTTCCCTATCCTAATTCTATATGGGTTATGGTCGTGTTAGTCATCTATTCATTCATGTGTCTTTTTTCATTGATGTGAATCAATAATAAATCGGGTAGTGCTCCAGCCAATTCATCCCTTCTCTCTCTCTCTTATCAACCAATCAGGTCCTAGAGTAGTTTTCGTCTCTCTGTCACCAAGGTTTCATACATTATTAGCCTCGAAACTGAAGTAGATAGCCTATCATGCCAAGACCTTAAACTAGATCGAGATAAATTCTCTCCTGTATATTAGTGGACAAATGAATTAAGGAAGTAACAGTAGCTTAATGTTTTAAACACTGAACTTTCAATTATATAACTATAAATTTTAAACACTAACCCATCTAATTCAGCTTTGACAAGGTGAATATACAATAAATAGATAGAAATTCTATACTGATTACTTCAAGAATTCATTTTCCTTTCTGTTCATTCATTTAATCTAGGTTTATTTAGATATGACTTTTGGTACAGGAGGTCATGCAAATGAAATATTGAAATATGCTGCCGATAATTTAACTTGTTACTTTCTAGACCGTGATCCAACAAGTTTCTCATTTATGGAATCACTTCGTACAAATTATAGCTCATCCAAGTAAGTTTCTTTCATATTCTATGTATGATATATTGAATTATTTTCTGGGAAGAAAAGAAATTGATTAGAGTAGTTCAGTATTGTATTATTCCGTAGTGAACACGAACACGAGTGGGGACAATCGAATGTGTTTGATACGAAATTACAGAGCATCTCAATAAAATCTGAGAACCATATTGTAAATAGTTAATTTGCAAAATATCAATCCATCGTCTCAAACTTCACTGTTCCTTTTGCAAATATCAGTCCATTGTCTCAGATTTCGTTGTTCTATGCATTTTCATACCAACTACATTTCGTTCCCGTTCTTTCCTTATCGATCTTCTACTGAAATACATTCTATGCCTGATCATCGTTATATACTACTTATGTGGATATAAGTAGCTCACACAATAATAATAAAACTAAATGATGAAAGTATTTTCTAAGCTAAATTCTATTGTGTAATTTTTCAAAACTTACAAAGTTAATATGCAAAATAAGAAAAGAGTAGACAACAGTAACTTGTCCCATCAGACAACGTAGCTAATTATTAATGATGTATTAAGTATATTAATAGTCAGTCAACGATGTAGAACCGGGAACATAAGTACTATTTGAATTTTCCACTCCATATCAATACAGCGAGATTAAGTTATCAAGATAGATCCCAGAATAGTAAAAGTATTAACAATGTTAGTAGCAGTAGAAAAGATTAGACATAGGCAACATGATTCGAGAAAAGTGAATGAACTTGCGGACTAGAAAGAACGTCAGTTCCTTCAAGGTTGCAGATACGCCTTGTTTCTAGTGCGTACTAACCTGCATGGAACATCTCGTCTTGATTACTTCCAGCCACCTAACATTTAAACACTATGCGGACCCTGCCGAGTCACCTATACTAGTGGTCAAATTATAAATCGATCGATGGATTTCGATTAGCAATAAAAGACTTTAAGTGATATGATATTAATCAAGCTTTATGCGTCTTTTCCTCTACTTTCGTTTTATATTAGTCATAAAATATATCCACTTATTGGACGATTTAGTGATCTTCCTCAATTATTAAGTGGCTATGATCTGAAATATCAATCAGTTGATTTAATTCTTATGGATTTGGGTGTAAGTTCACCACAATTAGACAATGAATCTCGTGGATTTGGTTTTAAACATAATGCTCCGTTAGATATGCGTATGAATCAAAGTCGAAATGTACAGTAAGTTTAAAGATGTTAATTTGATCATCGGCTTTTTCTAGTTTACATGTAAGTAGTTTGTTCAGTGAATAAACAGACTGAGGCCATAAGAACTTCATATCCAAGACATCAGAGTAAGCCAATTTTATCTCCTAGCAATACATATATCCCGTTTCTGTTTTCATTATTCAAAATATCTCTAGAAGTTCTCAAAAGTCTAGCACTTCAGACGCCTCACTGTTTATCATCTTTTCCTAAACCACAAATATTCTCATAGTCGTGCACACAAATGATTATTTCAAATTTAGTTCTCCAGCGTTGAGTTGACGATTGGACAGCACAGGACATTGTATATATTCAATGTTTCTGTTATGTTCTACTGTCGTTCAAGTCTTCTAGTGATATATATGCTTCCTATATGACTGCCCGAACCAACTATACTTGAATGAAAAAACCAATAGTGAATAAGAGGCTTCCATTGGTTAACTGGATCAAAATGTATTCATAAACCCATTTGTTGATGTTAACATGTGTGTTTAAAAAAAATGAGGCCCGATTTTCATTCAACAGTGTGTATCTGTTCCCTCGGAAAATCAAACCAAATCTTGACCAATAACATGTACCTGTCATCATCTCTACTGATCATTTGACCTTAAACCTATAGATCTGATTGCCCTAACTTCTATTCACACAAAAAGTTCACACATAGTAATGGTCTTTTATTATCTTTTCAAACTATTCAAATCAGTAGTAATGTAGTGAATGAAGACTTGGTGAAGAAAGCTAATTTGTTGTTTAATACGAAATTACAGAATGTCTTCGTGTAAAATATGAAAACCGTACATTAAGTACTTCATTCACACATCTTCCATCAGTTGTCCTTTACATACTTTATGATTCTTTCAATTCTGTTGTTATTACAATTACTTTGTGTTTCTCATTCTGTTCTCTTCAATTGAATCTTCTCAATCTTCTACTGTCATACAACAACAAGTACGGAGCTAACACAAAAATTACCCATAAAAAGGTCGTGTATGACCGACCTCAAGCAGTTGTCCCTTTGGCACTGCGGTCACGCCCTCAGGTCACTAAGACCACCTCTAATCCAATTTCCTTTTCAGGCACCTCCAGAAGAACCCTTCCACGGTGTGGGCAACCGAGGAGTGATAACCACCCTCATACCTCTAACAGCACTCAAGATACATTCCATTTTCTATTGATGCTACGTACTACTTATATCCGTCAACTTAAGTAGCATACACAGTAGTAGAACAGAATAAGCACAAACAACATAATACGAGAGGAAAGAATGAATTCAGAGAATAAAACGTATAAAATAATCTTAAAACTCAAGATCTAAGAAAAGGTCTGAAAAACTGCTATTATTTCCTTTTATGTGGAACTAAACAATCAACATATGTTATTATCAATTGTTTCGAAATTCAGATTTCCTCAAAATAGTAGCATAAATGAAATGATAGTAGGCATTATGTAGGGTGTATTTCAGTGAGAATGCTGAAATGTTTATTCTCCTTTCTTCTTATTCTCTCCCAATTTTGTTTAATTGATCAGTTAGTCATATGTAACATCGAGTCTGGCGTATGTGTAGATCAGCTCAGGTTACTATTCTCCATTAAGACAGCGATGTGAAGTTTTCAAAGCAAATTCCAGAGTAGTAGAGATAGTAACAGTATTGAGATATAGGGTGGTGGTTGGAGATAGTCGGTAGGAAACTTTGAACGACTAGTTTCTTCAAGTTTATAGGTACACCTTGCTGATGAGTTCCAAGTAGGATGAAACTTTGGTCCTGTCGACCACCTCCAATCAACACCTTGCATCTCAATATTTTGCACACGTCGAGCTACTTAGGCTACTGACCACGTTACGAATTGATTCGGCCTACATGATCAATCTGTTGCATTAGTAACAGTATTAGTGGTAATAAAAAATTAGGTATTAAAGGCACGATTTGAGGAAATATGAGTTAGTGAAATAAAAAAGATTATAGGGAACTTGAAAACTTATGATCTAAGAGGAGGTAAATAATGAATAAATCTGCACCATTACGAACGATTTTGAGCCATGCCACTTACAGATCTTAACCACTGGTTACGGTAATTGTGTAGACTCCAGTCAGGTAGTCTACACCTATCTACGTGGTTCAGTCCGATAGTAATGGTCTTCATGAACTAATACCTCGTCTTTGTTTGGCTTCCCTTATCTTTCTTCCGAACAAATCCTGCCACCAGTCATCGTTGCGCGGTGAGGTAGTCGGTGGATGGGGAACAATATACATCCTAAAGGTCCCAGTCGATAAAGATTTACTACTTCGTCAATCCATTCGCCATATTTCCAAGTACTATGGATTAATCCGATGATTCTAAAATATACAAGCAGTGTCTCGAGGACTGTTAATCAGTTGGATGATTACCAAACTTGTCACTAAAGTGTGCATATGAGATTTATACGCTCGTTTTAAAATCAGTCAACATGTTTATTTGAAGGTTTAACACTTCCAGTAGCTCCTGAAATCATTAATATCTTTTATAATGATTATTATCATCGGTTATATTTCATGTTCAAATTGGTAGGTGTGTGAATACCTTAATATCTCAATACTTATTATGCTTTGTTCAATGAAACTAGTAATGTTGTGGGCCATAGTTATCATCGTGGTGCTATGTATACACGTGACTTTGAATTCACTGTTTTATCCTAATAGTTAAACCTAATTATTATTACTTAGCCCTGTTACTCCTCGTGCATCATAGGCCGCCGATCAGATTCTGCGACAAACAATGTTCTGGGCTCTCCTTTCCAGCTTTTGCCATGTTCTATTCATTCTTGTGATGTCCACTTCCAGTCCCCCGCTCATTGTATTCCTTTGTCTCCCTCCTTTCGTTTGGCACTGAGGATTTTGGACTGGAATTTGTTTTGTAATGCAGTTTGACGATTTCCGTAAAGTGTAACCCATCCACCTCCAGCGTCTTTTCTTGGCTTCCTTCTCAGTCAGAAGCTGGTTTGTTCTCTATCACATTGGTTTGTTGCTGATTTGTCCGGCCAACATATTTGGAATACCTTATGTAGAAAATTGTTCGTAAATATGTATACTATTTTGATAATATTTGTGGTGGTTCTCCAAGTCTCAGCTCCGTGCACAACAGGAAACTATTTAGAGCTTTCTTGAAATTTGTTTTGAAACTTGTGACTTTGGTGTTTGTTGATGGTTGTTTTGAGTTCCATATGTTCTTCAACTGTATGAATGTTCTTGCTTTTCCTATCCGTGCCTTCACATTTGTATCAAATTCTCCTTGTTTATCAACAATGTTGTCCAAGTGTGTAAAAGTTTCCACGTCTAAAGCATTTCCATCAGGTGTGATTTTTTTTACTGCTCACTTTGTTGTATTTGAGGGTCTTGCTTTTTCCCTTGTGTATGTTATGGTCTACTGCTGCAGAGGCTGCTACTACACTGGATATCTTCACCTGGATTTATTGGCATGTATGGAACCCTTCTAGAGTTACTGCCAGTCCTAAGTCTGGACAAAGAAAGAGGGTTTGACATGGGATCAGGAATCTGATCATTTATGAAAAGAAACTTGCTTAAAAATGCTAGGCCGAAAAATCATTTTTAATTATTATTACCTACCTAAATTTATTTTCATTTCACCAAAATGTTACTCATCATTGTGCAATCATTCATCTAACGACATTTATAATTTTATTGAGATCACAAATCGATGTCACTTCGATAACCACTGAAAACCTGAATGCACTGGATAACAGTTTCGTTTTAGTATGGGACTCCTTTGCACTGTGTATCGATGATCCAGCAACTGGGGATCAGACCCAGGATCTACGCTCTCACGCTTCTAAACCACTGAAACGAAAACAAATGGTGTGACTTACACCAACCCCGGGGCATTACGTAACCATTATTCATTGTCTTCGGTGAGCAATTTCTTCATACCTGACAGGGTTGAACTTCACTGTTCATGCTTCCAAGTTTTCAGTGGTTGTCTAACTTAGATCTGTTTGTTGTTTCAATAAAGTTCAGCAGACTTCGTAATCCAATGCTAATAATCATAACTTTGTAGTATTAACCTTCTTGTTAAAGTGTAGTCTAACTTCTTCTTCAAGACCGATCAAACAATACTAATTGTAATTAATATATAACAGTACTTTCAAAATTTCTACAATTTTTCTACCTACTACTCTGTATAATGTCAACTTTAAAACTTGTGAATAACTCACTCTCTATATTGGCCTTAATCTGTATGTTACAGAAAAGATACACCAACTGCAGCTGATGTTATTAATACATTGAATGCTGACGAACTGTCGAATATATTCAGCATTTATGGTGAAGAACGTTTTTCTAGGCGTATCGCAAATGCTATTGTTGATTATAGAAATGATGCTGGTTCAATTCAAACAACAAAACAGTTAGCTGATTTAGTTCATTCTGTTGTACCAGTGAATAGAGAAGATAGAGGGTAAGTAAAACTACACTAATACAAGTGTTTGGTTTCATGTATATTTCCAAGTTGTCGTTATAAATTGAATAAATAGTACTTTTGTTGTGTTTTCAATTATTCAGCTATGTATACCTATGATATACTCATCATAAGATTTGAAAATTCTGGGTTCTATACTTGTTGAAGAGTATTCCCAATTTAAGATGAAACTCTGGAAGAAATCCACTCTATTGTTGGATAAAACATAGGTCAATGAGGAGAATTTCTTTCTCGACTGTCATTTACTAAACTTTCTAAATCGTATTTATGGTTATATGGAAGCGGTATGTTCAATCTCCTTTTTAAGATTGGTCTTGGGCCAATTGGACAACATTGATTTATCGGCCAGACCAATGACGTAGAAATCCGCACAAACAGTCCAGAGTCTTTATCGGTCCTTCTTCTTACCTAGCCCTGCCTGTTAAGTCCAGAAAGCAAATCTCAGCCTCTGCGTTATGTATTTCAAACATGCTGGGTTTATATACCAACCAAACAGACCACATCGTACCATAAAATGGAAAACAACAGTTGTACAAGATCTAACTAAAAGTGGCTGTGAACGTGGGAGACCGTAATTAATGGACCGGGTATAACTCAAGAACGGCAAATCGTATAATGATAGTGATAGAGAAGATTTGTAGCTCGGGTGGATGATTTTGATGAAGTTTTGTTCTCTGAGCTGGATGGTTTGGTCGTGGAGCTTTCATCGTTCTTCTGAACGACATCATGAGCACAAAATTCAGATAGAAGTGAAGTGTTCGAATAGTCTATGGGTCAAAATAAAGTTTATAATAGGAGGAACGTGAAAATGAATAGTTTGGTTACTTAACAACTATATAGTAAAATATTTATGTATCGTATTGATCCATAAATAGTTCTCAAAAGTTACCATTCATAATTCTCATCGGGATATAACAGTACCTACACGTTATACGAACGTTACACAACAGTAAAACAATACGACATCTTATCACTCATAATAATGTACACAGACAACTACAAACACTTATATAATTAAGAAATCGAGGAAATCCGAAAAATGACAGGAATTTTCTAGAAACATGAAATTCAAGTCAATCTGCAATCAATAGGCAACATGTCGACATAAACCTTATTAGCCATTCTATGCGGAAAATGTCAACCAATTTCTTGAACAGAAGTTAGTCGAACAAGATAGTCAACAGGAATATCAAGACAACTTAAGCTGATGCAACCGCCGAAGGCAACCATTCGGAGGTAATGTCATCAAAACTGGGGTATTTAGCACTTGTAAAGTAATTAAATAGCTCACACCCTAACCCTGAAGTTTGTAGGTATGCCTTGCTGTATATGAGTCTCAGGTTATACAAAATAAAATTTGTAAAGAGTTTCCTATCGACCACCTTCAACCGCCTAACTTCCTAACATTGTACTTAAGGTATCGATTCACTTAGACCAGTGATAATACTGTAACTTGGTTGATAAAATTCAATCAACACAGAAGTAGACACATATCATTGTTCACTATCCTATGACCAATCAATATTATATACGATCACATGTTTTCATCTCTCTCTACGTATTTATCATTCTTTTCAGCTCAATTCATCCAGCTACACGTATATTCCAAGCATTACGTATTTTTATTAATGACGAACTAAACGAATTATGCATCGGTCTAGAATTAGCTGAATTTTTATTAAAACCCGGTGGTTATTTAGTTGTTCTATCATTTCATTCATTAGAAGATCGTTTAATCAAATGGGCATTCCATTATGATTGTAAACATCTATCTTTATCAAAATATTTATCACAACGAAGTCTGAATTTTCAATGTACTAATAAAAGAAAAGAATATGAAAATGATGAAATATCAGATGGATCTCTGGGACAAATGAAATCAAAATGGAATTGTGTAAGTTAAATAATCCTGTGATAATCTAGGTTCTTGAATTATATTGTTTTCTACTACTAATAATAATGTTACTACTTCTGATAGTCCGACATTTATCTTAAATATTTTCATCTGATTGTATTGATATATGGTGGAAACTTGAACCGATGGACATATTTTCCAAGTTCAATGTTGTCTATAATTGGCCCCTGAATGGTCTTGTACGACCGAGGGTGAAGAGAGTTCGTTCTCCCTTTCGAAATAATATATGGCTACGCGTATACAACCACCATCAGGGAAGTGTTGTTTACGAAATTGGGAATACGTAACGCGAATATTCGGCGTATACACCGGGTTAGTAGATACAGAGGATTTTCCTAGGGGGGGGGTTGAGAACCCTGGTTACAAACCAATAGTGCACATGGGCCACTTCGACTATAGATAGCATACATCATCAGTATACAACTTACATAATAAATCTAGTTAGTTCCATTTAGTGCACAGTTATTAATGTTTAATTTAGTAAATGAATAATAGTTCAAATAATACTTGATGGTAACTAATACTCCTGTGCTTAAAGCGAATTTTAAACCATTTAGAGCTCATCAACTGAATTCCTCCTCACTGTTAATGATTTATCATTGACTACTACAGTCCGCGTTATTTCAAAAATTGTAAACTTTTGACTTATTCTTAAAAACAACCTTAAACTTATCAGATTCGTTTGTCATAGAAACCGAAAAAATGATGATTTTAACAATGTACTGGTTTCATACTTCATACATTTGGTTTTATATCAGTTGTTTTCAACACTGTGATGCTATTTTTTTTCTTAAAGATTATTGGACCTATAACTCCTACCGATTCGGAGATAGATTCTAATCCAAGAAGTCGTTCAGCCAAATTACGTATAGCGAAAAGAGCATAATTAAAAAAAGTGATTAAGGAAGCAATGACAATAAACGATTAGGTTACTGATCAAGGTGTATGATGTATAGAGTATTACATGTGTGGATAATACAATTCAGTTGAATTTTGTTAAACAGTCTCAATTCTGAAGTTATATTTTGTACATATTCAGTTTTTTTTTTAGAGAAATGTAATTGTACATATTTGTAATTATTGCACCAATTAAATTGATATAATCGATCTTACTTTCCATAAATATTGGTGGAGTGGGACTTTTTTTCGTCACTTTGTATTTGTACAATTTCCTGTTATTAATATTCAGCACTACAATTTATATCAGTTTCCGTCCCAATATATATATACAACTTGAATTGACTTGCTTAATTAAGCCTGTTACCCCTCGTCGAGGAGCGTAGGCCATTCACCAGCACTCTCCATCCAACTCTGTCATGGACAATCCTTTTTGGTTGCTATTCATCCTTTTGATGTCTGTTTCCAATTACCGACGTAGCGTGTTCTTCGGGATTCCAGGTAAACGCTTGCTTCGTGATACAGTTTGGTGATTTCCGTAATGTATGTCCCACCCACCTCCATCATCTTTTCCTAATTTCCTCTTCAGATGGAAGTCGGTTTGTTCTCTCCCACAGCTGTCTGTCGCTGGTGGTATTCGTTTAACGGACATTGTTTGTAACTACTCGTATCTTTTTGATTATGGTTGTGATAGTTATCCCAGTTTCAGCTCCATACAGTAGAACTGTCTTGACATCCGTATTGCAGATTCCGATTTTGATATTTCTTGACAGTCCTCTCGAAATGCTCTCACATGACCACACGTATACAGCTACTACCAGGGAAGTCCTACTCACTGCCTTCTCGGGAAGGGGATGCTGTTTACGGAATTGAGAGAACGGAAAACAAATGTTTGGCGCTTTAACAGGGTTGGTGGTTATGGAGGATCCATCTAGGAGAGCTGGAAAACCCTGATCCCAAACAAATGGTGGACATGGGCTCCAGGATCCTAAGGAGACTAATGGCTTATGAAGGTATCGTTGGTCACCAACTACCATGGGACTATATCTCCTAATGCTGCTGGATCAGACTTTTAGGTCAAAAGCTCCGGGAGCCCCCTCCCTAAGAAAACCACCTACTTTTGTATGGGCTCTCGGACAATATCACAGCCCATACACAAATCAAGTGACTTGTGTGGCGCATATATATTCGGTGCCTTCTTGTACCCATGATGTTAATCTTCAACCAAACACTTAATCCAATTTGCAATTTCATTAACTTCAATGTCATTTAGACAATTTGTCTTTTAATTCCACTTAACGTACAAACTTATATCAAGTCATTCATTAATATAACTTTATTTGAAGTAGAGAAGAGAAAAAAAAGGTTATTTACAACAATTTCATTTATATACAATGACGAAAGAGAATAAATAAAGAATTCAATAGTCAATAGCGAATGATTTTAAAGTTTTTAAAAGTGTTTTTGGTTGAATAAATTTTTTAAATTCAGTTCTTGGTATCCATGCAAAATTATTAATATTGAAATCATTATTTATAATTAAATCTTCACCATGCCAATGTCTATCAACATAGACATTGAAAAAGTATACCTATAAAAATAAACAGAAAGAGAATATATGAATATCATTATGATTGGTAATATAAGGGCGGCCTGCTTGATCATCTGGGCTACCTGTTCCTGCCATCTAGATATTTCAACAAGTTATCTGCTTCTTTGTTTGTTTTAATATATCATTATGTTTATTAATCGCATAACCTATTCTGCTGCGTTTCTGAAAAGTGTACAACCTTTCGTTGTCAAAGTTACAGAAAACTCAATAAGAGACAATGTGGTTGCTGGCAATATACAACGAAAAGAATGTACATTATTCAGATGTTCATTTAGTGAACTGATAACATCTAACTGGCGATTCCTCAATATTTATCGCCAGGACCGACCAAGAAGGAAGAAACGGAAACTTGTTGAAATACTTTGCGCTGAGAATTCTATATTGTACCAAAATTATAATATTGAATAAAGCTAATAATAATAATAATATGTTGTTCTGTGAACAGAAATCTGTACTAGGCTAGGTGTGTTATTTTCTAACATTGACAATGTTTACCCGTTGTTGAGAGGCATCATCATTGCGGATGTCATTTATTATTATTATTTATTTATTTATTTGAATACATGGATATTGGTACAAGGCGGCACCAAATATATATGCGACACACCTCTTCTAATCATCTCACATTGTTGTGAACGAAACCACAGGTGGGGACAATCGAATGTAATTTGAACACAAAATTGCAAAAAAAAACCATACAGTAAATACTTTATTTGCAAAATGTCAATCAGTCGTCTCAGATTTGATTATTCCCACGTTTCCACACTAATCATTCTCTGTTCTCGTACTCTTTCCTTCGATCTTCTGCCTTTAGGCATTTAAATTTCGATTGGTGATACATACTGCTTATATCTATCGATATCAGTAGCACATACCACAATATATCATAATACATACGACACTGGATCGCTTACACTAGTCTATTTATTTAGACACATAAACATTGGTACAAGGAGGCACCGAATACATATGCGCCACAAAAATCTCATTCGATATATGTGAGGGCTGTGATACTGCCCTGGTGCCCAAACCGAAGCAGGTGGTTTTCTTAGGGGGCCACACCCGGAGCCTTTGACCTGATGTTCTGATCCACAAAGCAGTGGAGCATCGTAAGGAGATGCAGTCCTATGGTAGCCGGTGACCAACGATTAGTTTATACGCCATTTGTTCCTTCAGGATACTGGAGCCCATGTGCACCATTGATTTGGAATCAGGGTTTTCCAACTCCCCTAGGTGGACTCACCGTGTCCACCAACCTGCAGATGTCATATTTCTATACAGTTGGCAGTACAACTTTGCCCTCAGACTTTGAGTTGTCTTCAGCTCTACTGTTGGAACTGGTAGAACTTGAAGAAACCTATATCCTGATTAATATAGTTTGATTTAGCAATTACGGATATGCAAGCCTGATCACTACAAGGCAGAGGGTATGGTAGAGATAATGTTTAGAAAGAATGAAAGCTTCACGAGTTAACCATTCAGTTCAGAATATCCAAAGTTTCAAACCATGACGAAACAACTAGATCTCAATGACCCCCCAAATGTCAGCCTATGATAAAAAGAAATTTCCTCTAAAAATCAAACAGATCTTTAAGAACCACCCAACTAGATGATTTCTACTATTTTTGAAAAACAAACAAAAACCTATTAGCACTTAGTAATTATACACTTACTTGTGTACCAGTATCTTCTTTATTTCTATCTCTAGTCAACCAAACAGCAACTGGTGTATTGCCAAATATACACCATTTAGCTCTTGGTGGTAATAAACTTGTTGCTATAGAATCAGCGACCTGGAGAGGGATAAAAGTGAATGAAATTTAAAATAAGAATAGTAGTGATTTCTTTCAGATGATATTGGTAGACAAAATAATTAAGTTATAAATACTTGAATTGGTACAAATGACCTACGAAATTGACTTTTTCATTATAAACAATATTGTTTTTTTGTATAATCTACAATAGTGCATGAATATGATGGTAAATTTTATTTTGTTGATATTGGTATTCAGCACAATTCAAATGGTCATATAGAAAGATTTATTCATCGGAAAGACACTTGGAGTAGGTTTTACTTGAATTTCAATAGTTTTTGTCCAATCAGCTACAAGGTTTTGGTTAAGACACTATATTGAGAACGGAAGACTGAAAAATTAACTATGGTTGAAAAATATCTACGAGATAATGATTATCCACAAAAGTTCATCAGTAATTATAAGGAAACAAGAAAAAAAAGAGTGAAATTTGCCACAGTCGAGAAAAAGTCAACCTTCTTACAACTCAGTTTGAAAGGTGATAAAAAAGCGAGCATGATTAATTCTAGACTAAGTGCTCCACTGAAGAGGACATGTCCAGCCGCAAAACTATTTTCTATGTATCAAACAAATAGCACATCGAGGAGGAAAAAAGTGGGCAAATCCCCACTTCCGGTTACGTCCGATCGTACTTATCAGTTCGCCAGCTCATGCCAGAGCATTCACTTCGAAAGAACAGAAAGAATTCATGATCGAATCTCCGAGTATATTCCACAAAAAATAAAGATCAAAAAGTCAACGTATTTTCAACAATGCCATGGCTTGATATTTTAAAACCTTTCAAACATAAATACTTAAACAGATTTGAATTTACGACGTTACCAAAGGGCCATCACTGTAAAAAAGCCATACCTATAAATTCAAAAGGAAACCGTTGTAAATCTATCACTACTCTGGTAACTTCAAGTTTCTGCTATCCAATTGCGTAATATCTTAGTTCGTATTCGTAATAGCAGATTCCTTTCTCAATGTTGGGTTTTTTTCAGCTTTACTCATCCAATTATGTTATTCTATCAAAATTTTATATACATGCTCTAGGAACGTACCTCCATGTGTTTAAGAAAGAATTTATTCTGGAATTTTTAGTTGGTAAATATTCATTCACTTCACCCCTATAATGTTTCTCTTTATAACTGTTGTTGGTATTCTACTATGATCTATTTGATTATATAAAGTATGCACATTGCTATAAACCATAATAATTATTAGGCAAAGATGGATAGGGGTTAGCAGTGGAATCTAGGACGCGCGTCCCGTTCTATTTGGGACTCGTCAGCTGAATGTACCTGTATCCAAGAGTTAACGCTCACTCCGGGACTCGAACCCAGTACCGTTCGCTTTAAACGCCATCGCATTATCCATTTACCTACTGACTTCTGATAGCCACTTGTTTTCGCAATGGTGTGAAGTTTAAATTCACTTATTTTTGTTTGCTTGTATCTTCGCATTGTTGTTTGGGACTGCAATTGATCAGTCTTTTATTAGCATATGTACATCCAAAGAGGATTGACTCGAGTGAGCATCAACTCTGGGATTCAGGTACATTCAGCTGATGAGTCCTAAATAGGACGATACGCGCGTTATGGATTTCACTGCTAGTCACCATCAATTCTGTACATCATGCTTGTGACTTGAGGCAATATCGAGGCAATCCGCACAGAATGCACATATGTCAATAAGAGACTGATCAATTGCAGTCCTAAACAACAATGGGAAAATACAAGCAAAAAAATACCAAGTGAATTTATAATAATTATTGTTTCTAAGTTGTAAGCAGCTGACAAAATAACTGATTTCACTTTATTCTGCTACACTTGTTCTTGCTTTAATCTAATTAATTTTTGTGTTAAATATTTTGCAGATAGTTGTGTTATTAAAGTAAGTATTATCTAATACTGTTAACTTCTGAATCATAATTGAGCCTCACGATATTACACACTACACTGTTGATTGCGCAAGCCTAATATCTCTTATTGCTATACAATAAGTTAAACTGTATTCACACCACCATATACAACAAGAAGGAAAGGAATATCATCCTGTATAGGAAAGCATTTGTTGTTTCCAGAAAAACAAATGGTGCAAATATTCTGTATACATAGCTTATACATAACTCTATAAAAACATGATTCTGCGTACTAAAAGTTTGAAGAACCAATTAACATGTATTTCCAAGTCACCATATTCTTTTGATATGGAGTGTACGAACTTAAGGAAACATAAAAATTGATATTTTATGGCAATCTTAGAAGATTGTACAGTGGTGTTACCAGTACTAGGAAAAATGCTATGCATTTTGACGATACACTGGCTATATTATGAAGTATTAGAATATTATATATAAACGTTTTCATAACCAGATACATCAATATAGCTACCTGTCTTAAATTTTTTCCATCGGATACTGGTGCAGTTGGAAGATTCCATCCACTAGATACATTTTTCGGGGATTGAACTAACAAGTACAGAGGTTTATCTAACGCACGCCAGGCGGACTTTAAATTTTCAGATTTATCATTTTCTAAAAGAGATCAAGTGAAAAAAATTATTTGTGATAGAAATTACTAAAACGAAGCGTGAAATCATTCTTATTGAACGTCAGTGAGAATAGTTGTAACTCTTACAACTACATTGGGCTACAGATACTCGTTCATAAGATGGAACCATCTAAAATCACTTCCACGTATTAATATTAGATTCAGGAATAGTTAAAAACGATTATTTCGAATTTTAACGCTGTTTAACTCCAAAGGAACAACTTAGTTATTTTTAGCATGATTAAATTTGGCTACTGTTAAACCGTTTAGATGGAAAATGAAATAAAACTACAGTACTACCGTTACTAATCTCTGTTTTGAGACATGTGATAAGGTTCCAAGCCATTCGATTGCATAACATTTAAGACCCCATTGAAGAAGTTGTAATGCACTGGCAAACATGGCCTCAATATAACTACTCTTCCTTTTGAACGGAGAAGAGGCGCCGCCTATTTTTCATCCTTTAATAACTGAGCCGCTTCCAACAGTTTTAAGAACCAATTTACACCCATCAAGGATAAGATTTGTACAACTGGTTCTTCAAATGTATTTTTATTGGAATCAATTTTAGTTTACCTTCATAAAAGTTGTCACATACTCTACGAATACTTAGGTGAAGGTGATCAGTTTGATGATTTATTTAAACATGATAGTCTAAACGGTGATAATTGTATATACATCAATTGTAGATGAGGTGTAAGTTATAGTATTTTATTTATTATTATTTATTTATTTGAACACATAAATATTGGTACAAGAGAGCGCCAATATATATGCGCCACACAAAACAATGGGAATTCGAAGAGAAGTAGAAAGAAAAAAAAAACTAAGGAACGCAAAAGAAAGAGAGAGTAATGACGAAGAGGTACAATCAGAAGAAATCTTTCAGGCAAAGGAGACACAACCACTTTTTATGAAGAAAGTAAAAGAAGGTTACAGCAGGATCGCCACTGGCTTCTATTCTGAGCCATATCTGATAACGTCTCTAGCCACTGTGTAGCACCATCTCTCGGACCCCAGCCAGGGAGTCGTGAAGGACCAACACAAGCCAGTCCTTTGCAGCTTTCTTTCATGCCACGACACCATGTCATGCACTGACCACCTCTCCGCTTCTTCCAACCAGTCCCAGAGTCGGCAAATAATGCACGACGAGGAATTCTCTGGGACGACATTCGGAGAACATGTCCAAGCCACCGAAGTCGGTGTTTCAAGATGGTGACACCAATTGAGTTATCATCTCTGTGCCCGAACACACGATGCCGAACCTCTGCATTACTGACATGGTGTTGCCACTGAATGTCAGCAATCCTTCGGAGACAGCGATGATCGAACACAGAGAGTCGTCTAACGTCCTCAACTCGGAGAGGCCAGGTTTCACAAGCATAGAGCAAAACTGCTCTCACCGACGCGTTGTAAATCCGGCCTTTTACAGCCAGACTAACATCACGAAGGCGCCAAAGGTGGCCCAGATTGGCATAAGCCGCTCTGGCTTTCACTATTCGTGCATTGATCTCATCACTCACACCTCCACCAGCACTTATGCAGCTACCCAGATACACGAACTTCTCAACTACGTCTATCTGCTCACCGTCCAGGGTGAGTACAGGATTAGAATCCTGCCAGTCTTGTAGAAGTACTTTGCACTTCGAAGGTGCAAAGCACATACCATACCTACGGACATTGATTGCCAACTGATTAAGTGCGGATTGCATGCCTTGGGCATTATCGCACAGTAAGACAATATCGTCCGCATACTCAAGGTCGAGAAGTTTTTCTCCAGGCAACAGATCCACACCACCATTACTTACATTCATCAGAGCTGTTTCCAGAATGTCATCGATGGCAAAGTTGAAGAGGAATGGTGAGATTGGGCAACCCTGCCTAACCCCACTGCTCGAATGGAACAATGGAGAGAGGTGGTTGTATGCCCTCACTCTGCCTGAGGTGTTTTTATACAGGGCTTTTAGGATGTTAATAAACTTCTCAGGCACACCCTTCTTCAATAGACAATCCCAGAGAACAGTCCTATCCAACGAATCGAAGGCAGCCCTGATGTCAAGAAACACTACGATTGTTGGCCTTTGAAAAGTATGGCGGTGTTCTAACATTTGGCGGAGGGTGAAGATATGATCAATACATCCTCGACCAGAACGAAACCCAGCCTGCTCCTCGCGAGTCAATCTTTCTCGGGTTTTGAACAACCTACGAAGAATGACGGAAGCCAATAGCTTGGACGCAATCGGAAGTAAACTTATCCCCCGATAGTTGTTACAAGAACGACGTGAACCCTTTTTAAAGATAGGGACAACTATCGACTCATTCCATGACGTTGGTACACTCTCTAGTTCCCAAACCTTTGTAAACAACGTCGTCAATTCCTTAGTCAAAAAGTCACCACCATCTTTAAAAAGAGCCGGAGGTAAGTCATCTGGGCCAGGTGATTTGTAACGCTTCAAGAGTTGGAGTTCCTTGCGGACTTCCTCCTCATTTGGTGGATCAGTCGTCACCGGCCATGGAGGGCAGGACAGTCTGACCGATGTTGCCGGAGCAGCAGGCCAGTTGAACTGCCCTTCGAAAAATTCTGCCCATCGTCCAAGACGTCGATGGATGTTAGTGATTGGCATCCCATCATCCTCGCAGATTGTTTCACTCACACCAGACTTCTTGCTGCCAGTGGCTGGGATGAGTTGGAAGAGCTTCCGGTAGTTACCAGATGCAGCTGCTGCTTCCAGCTCATTAGCACGCATCGACCACCAGGCTTCTCGGTCCTTACGCAAGCTTTGCCCGATTTCCTTACGTAAAATCCTTCGTTTATGGTCAAACTCACGGTTACCCGGAGTAGACCGACGGGCTTCAATGAGTTGTAAGGAACCAGAAGAAACCCAGTGCTTAAAAGCGGGACGTTTCGCAAACCCACAACTGACTGTTCCCGCCATTTTCATGGCGTCATGCAATTGCAACCAATGCTCATCTATACTTTTCGGTGGAGTGGTAGCTAGCCTAGAGGCTAGCTCGGTTCGATACTTACTTGCAACAGAAGTTGCAACCAGCTTGCTAACATCAATCCGTTGATGGCGTTCACTTCGTTGTCCACTGAAAAGTAAGGCAAGATTGGCGCAGACCAAGGCATGGTCAGAGTCCAGATAGGTATTCCAAAAGGAGCGGCAGTCTTGTACACAACCACGCCAGCGGTAGCTGATCGCGATGTGATCAATCTGAGTCCAGGCTTGAGATGCAGAGGGAGGACGCCAGGTGGCACATCGGCGATGACTGTGCCGAAAGTTAGTGCTAGCCAGAAACAGGTTGTGGTCTGTGCACAGTTGCAGTAGACGGTCCCCGTTATCTGACCTGCGACCAACGAGTCCCCATCGGCCACCTAAACGACTCTCTTCTGTGCCTAGACGCCCGACCTGAGCATTCAAGTCTCCGGCTAGTACTACAATATCTGTCGAACGCACTTTCTGGAGAAGAACTGATAACTGGTGGTAAAACTCATCCTTGATTGCATCCGGGCTGCAATCTGTCGGGGCATAGGCGTAGATGACGAAAAGACATCGTTTCTCACGCCGATTTCTTCTCACTTTGATGGAACTTTCTAATCTAACAGCACATAACCGACTGTTAATGGGGATCCAATCGACTAGTGCTGCCTCAGCTCTAGCGCTTAGTGCGACACCAACGCCAGCAAAACCAGACGAAGATGCCACAGGGTCCCCGGATAAGCGCACGTAAAACAAGCTTTTCGAAGCGACAGATGGAGATCGAATTTGTAGTACTTCGCCAGAGTCTTGAATACGGGTCTCGGATAGACAACACACGTCGATATTAAGACTTTCCAAAGACATAGCCAGCCCTATCTGTTGTCCGACCTGCATAAATGTGCGAACGTTGAAGGCAGCCAGTTTGAATGATGCACGTGGTTTCAGAAAATCTGCTTCAGTCCTCGTATTCGGTGGTAACATACAATTTACAACCGGACAGTGACTCGAGAACGTTTAGATACAGTCGGAATTCCACCAAAGACGAGCCGCTGTATAAGTATAAAAGAAGGTGAATAATGTGGAAAATAATAACAATAATGATAATAATAACAATAATGACAATAATAGTAGTAATAATAATATTAGTATTAATAATGACAATAATTGTAGTGATCATAATTTGAATCAATTGATTGTTTTTCAAAGCGACAAAGGTAATTTCCATGGACATAGAGTTCATCATTTGTGTGTGGGCTGTGATACTGCCCGGGTGCCCAAACCGAAGCAGGTGGTTATCTTAGGGGGCCACTCCCCGAGCCTTTGACCTAAAGGTCTAACCCACAAGGCAGTGGAGCATCGTAAGGAGATGCAGTCCCATGGTAGCCGGTGACCAACGATTGGTTCATACGCCATTCGTTCCCGCAGGATACTGGAGCCCATGTGCACCATTGATTTGGAATCCGGTTAAAGCGCCGGACATTCGCTTTTCGTCCTCTCATTTTCGTAAACAACACCCCCGCCACGAGAAGGCAATGAGTAGGACTTCCCTGGCAGAGGCTGTATACGCGTGGCCGTGTGAGAGTATTTCGAGAGGGAGAGCGGACTCTCCCCACTCTCGGCCGTACCAGGGCATTCAGGGGGCTATAGTATTTTACATAAACTGTTGCTTTCATTTGACTGCAAGTGTTAATAAATCCAAAAATATTTTTCTTAACATAGAAGTCTATAATCTGAAATCTGCTCAAAAAGTTAAAACTGGTTATTTAAAACCTTTCGAGCTATGTCGGTAGATGCAGACTACTTAGTTGGGGTCTGGGTGACTATCGTAACCAATGGTTGGAGACTCTTGATGACATGGCTCAGAGTCGATCACAGTGGCATAGATGTATACACTATCTGTCTTTCCTTAAACTATGAGATTAAAGTCGCTTCATATCTTTCTACGTACTAATTCTTTCTTTCTGTACTATATCCTTATATGCAATCCTTCTTTTATATATTACCATCATTGAATTAACTACTATGAATCCGGTGTTTATCTTGCTGAGCTAATGCAACTTGGACAACATGGACCGATGCATATATGTGCCTGGTCCTACGTTGTAGCTGACTGACTTTCGAACCCGAGCCCCAAATTCTCCCTACACCTCTCGTTTTTCTCTGTAAATGATTTTTTACTAGTAAGGATGTCGTTACTAATCCTCTTATTCTGGGGTTTGGATCGACAACCTCATTTTAGTGTGTTCTTGTACTCCAACTTAACCTAATTGGAAGAATTATTCTTTTGACTTGTTCGTAATTATTAGTGAATACTATTAACAACATTTTCAGAGGAACAAATGCACCTTCAACACGAGCTAACATCCTTTTTGGATGTTAATTGAGTGCATATACGTCGGAACGCCTCTAAATGTTAAAAGAAAATTCAGTTCTACGAATACAAGTTGTTTAAGAAATATTCACTATGAGTAAGCTTGCTCTAAGTGATTTATGATTCGCTATAAAAACAGAAATATTCTGGTCTAAAATTGAAATTTAGATAAGATCTTTTTTTATTAACAAACCTTAAAAACAAGGGATCTTTTTCAGTAAAAACGATTGAGTCAGAAATAAAATATTCTGACAAAAAAACATACCTGTCAATCGTTCTGCTGGCTTATACTGCTCAGCCTCCAACTCCCACATTATTTCCGCTTCACGAGCAGTTATAAGTGATTCTTGTGCAATATTACTTATTCCTTTTGAAAGGGCATTAGCAATTCTTTTGGTTTCAATTTCATGTCTTAATTCATGTGCCGACAAGTGGCTTTTTTCAAAGTCGACCTTTTCAATTAAGTCGGCTACTTGTTTTTCAAGTGGTTTTAATTCTGGTGCAATAACTGCGGGCCGACGTATACACAACCCACTGAAGATATTCCAATTCTTGATATCTTTCAATATAACCAGAGAACGAGACATTACCAACTTACTGTGAGAATAGGAAAAGAAACATTATTTACTGAATGGTGACAAAAACTGAGTTGATACGTATGCTTCCAATGAAGTCCTTAGTTTGCGATGATATATAAAATTATCCTATACATACACAGGACGAACAATACATGGAAGTTATATTACTAAGTTCCTGAAATCAACATTACATGTGTATGCTTGTAAAGATAGTGGTATTACATTATATGAGTCACTACTGCAGGTTGCCATCACATGGTTAGGGTCAGGTCTGTTACAACCGGAGACTGAAAAACTGACAAAATCTTGTAACACCCTTAAGTGTCTTATCGGTTTACACTTGTAATATAAAAGCCCTTATAATGAGGATGAAAAAATAACACGGCCTGACCCATATGTAGTGTATTTCGGTCAATATATAACAATTAAATTCATTGCGTCCGTAGAAATGCAGTTATAAAAAAGAAATTCAGGTAGGTGCATTTGTGATAAGAAACCAAATAACTAAAAGGACATGGCCATCACAACAAAGAGCCACAAAAGACGATACCAAAAAGCTGGAACCCCGATATATAAATAATTCGTACTAGGTGAAAGTATTTTAATGTTTACAAGCTTGTTAACTTATTTATATGGACTCAGAGTTAGTGGCTGGGTAGGCAATAAAAATTCATGAACCTCAAGAGCACCTATGGTATTCCCATTTTTTATATTCTAACGCTTTATCTAAAAATAGTACCTTTTCTTGGCCAGAGAAGCAAGTAATCAGCTATATGACCTCGACTGTCGAAAACACACAGTGACCTACAGACACACTTTCGCGCTTTCAATATACAATAGCATCTGAAACTCCAATGTCTTCATTACCTTTCTCATGAGCTCGTATAAACAGATTGGTTTCTTTGAGGTGGTTTCTCGTTGTTTTAATACGGCCTTGGGTAATTGGTAATATCCAGTGAGTGGTAGTTCATCCGTTCGAATGCACTAATACTAGTCCGTTTGGTAATTAGTTTCAGTTTCAGTTTCAGTTTGGGAAGGACAGGAGGCTCGATGGCCTATGTTAGTCCTGGCAATGGTGGTCTCTCAGTTGATCCAACTTTCTTTTAAAACAGTCGACGGATGGAGCCTCAACCACGTGCTGAGGTAGTGAATTCCACTCGTTGATGATTCGATGGGAAAGTCGATAGTCAGCTGACAAGTAATTTGTTCTCGGCTTATGAACTTTTTTGGAGTGTCCTCGTAAATTCTCTGTTTTGGAAGACAAGAAAAATGAGGGCATATCAGGTGCAAATTTATCACTAAGCAATTTGTAGACTGTAATCAAGTCGCCTCTAGTTCTGCGATATGACAACGGGAAAAGGTTCAGCTTGGCCAGTCGAGATTCATACGGAAGCTTCGCTATTCCGGGAACCAGCTTAGTCGCCATTCTCTGAACCTTTTCCAGAAGCTCTCTGTCTTTTTTAAAGCAGGGGCTAGCCGCTTGTATGCAGTACTCAAGTTTAGGACGAACGAACACTGTATACAAAGTCAAAAACGTCTTAGTGTCGACATGACTAAAAGCCCTACGTATTGACCATAACGTTCTAAAACTTTTGGCGGCTATTGCACGGCAGTGTGCAGTAGTCTTTAAGTCTTGACTAACGATAACTCCTAAGTCATTATATGTCTGGACGACAGGTAGCTCAGTGTTATTCATCGTGTATGTATCTGTGCCTTGATGACCGATATGCATCACAACACACTTGGAAGTATTTATCGGCAACTGCCATGTTTGAGACCATTCAGATAACTTCTTCAGGTCATTTTGAAGTTCTAAGCTATCACTCTTACATCGTATCGTTCTCCATATCTTGACATCGTCAGCATATAGCAAGACCGATGATGATAGGAGACAAGGAAGATCATTTACATATAAGAGGAATAGCACTGGCCCCAAAACTGTACCCTGGGGCACTCCACTAAGCACAGTTTCCCAGCTAGATAACTTTGAGTTCACCCTTACTCTTTGTTGACGCCCAACTAAGAAGTCTTTTATCCACATCAATAAATTACCTCCAATCCCGACATGTCTTAACTTATATAACAGCCGGTTGTGCGGAACTTTATCAAAAGCTTTACTGAAATCAATGAAGGCGACGTCTACAGGTAGCTTTTGGTCCTTAAGAGCACACCAACTTTCACGAGCCACTAATAAGTTAGTGAGACAAGAATAACCTATTCTGAAGCCATGCTGCTTCTCCGAGAGGATCCGGTTTTTATCGAGATACTTAAACAGCTCCTTCCGAATAATCTTTTCTAATATTTTAACAACCACACTAGTTAGGCTAACGGGGCGGTAGTTCTCAGGTTTGTGTTTCGTGCCTGTTTTGAAGACAGGACTTACTATGGCGTTTTTCCAATCTTTCGGTAAGCGACCCTGCGTAACGGATAGGTTGAAGCATGTACTTAAAGGGTTCGCAACGAAGTTAGATAATTCCTTCAGTAGCCTAGGATGTAATTCATCGGGCCCCGTGGATTTACCTATGTCAAGCTTATTTAGCAGACCAAAGACATCGAGTTCTTTAATGGTCACGCTATCCAGTGTATGTATGGGGGGATCTGTATACGCTGACGAGAAGGGCGCTTCTATGGTATACACGTTGCTAAAGTAGTTCGAGAACGCTTGAGCCTTACCAAAGTCGTCCTCCACTAGTGATGAAGCAGTACTGTCTCCCCATAGAGCAGGAATATTACCTTTTCTCCTTGTCCTTTGGTTTATATAGGAATACAAGCGTTTAGGACATTCTATGGATTCCTTAACAAGTTTTTCTTCGTACAATTTTCTAGACTTACGGAGGGTCGAGGCACAAGTGTTCCGAGCCTTTCGATACTGAGATTTTGACTCATCAGTCCCCAGTAACCTAAATCTATCCCACGTTTTCCTTTTCTTACGGAGAAGGATACGGACCTCCCTACTGAACCATGGTGGTGAGTTTTTCGGCCCCTTTGGTATAGTCCAAGGGATGTGAGGTGTGGTAACTTTTAAGTATGATTTTCGAAATGTGTCCCAGGCCGTTTCAATGGAGGACTCTGGGTCTATTGTCCAATCTATTAACGATGCTGAGTGCATGATTTCTGGTATGTTTGCTTTCCAGACGTTGGGTCTGGACTGGACTGACGCGTCCTCATGACTGGCAGTTATATGGAAGTCGAAAGTTAAAACTGCGTGGTCACTTTTACCTAAGGGTGGCATATGGTGGAGGTTCGCAACATCATCCTCATAGTGAGTCAGTATAAGATCTAATAAGGATGATTCAGTGTCCGGGTCGTACCTAGTCGCTTCTTTCACATGTTGCACTAGGGCACATGTGATAACCGCATCAACTAGTTCCTGCTCAAAGGAATTTTCTGACGATTCAGTTCGCAGATTTTCCCAGTCTAACATTGGTGCATTAAAGTCCCCTAGGATTAGACATCGACCACTTTGGGACCAAGTATTGAGACTGCTTAACAGGATCTCATTTGCCTCACAGCTTGGACTGCGATAGACCAAACCAATCAGCAGCTCTTGTCCCTTGCATTTTAAGCGAAGACTAACTAACTCGCATGTCCCACTCTCATGGGATACACTATCGATAATGGTAAATGGGATAGCATTCCTAATGAATAGAGCTACTCCCCCTCCTTTGCGCTTTTGTGTTCTGTCGGCCCTTACTAACGTAAAGCCCTCGAAATCAAGTTCTATACTATCTATAGCCTGTGTCAGCCAGGTTTCTGTTACTGCGATTATATCTGGCTTTATAGAGTCAATCTGTACACCTAGTTCCGATCGCTTATTGAGTAAGCTTCGTGCATTGGTGTAACAGATCCGAAGCCTGTTTAGGTGCCTTCGTGCTTCACCCAGAGTGGCTTCGGCATCATTCTCTGTCGAAGTCTTACAACCCGAAAATTTACAATTTTCAGGTCCTTTTCGCCAGCGTCTAACCTATGTTGTAGTTCTTTCTCGGCTTCCCGTCTTTTAACACGGTCTGCCAACGGTAGGTCCTTTCGAATAAAGACTCCCGAACCCTTTAATTTGTGTCCATTTTGTAAAATTAGGTCACGTTCGTTTGAAGAGCCGAATACTACTTTAAGCAGTCTGGAATGATTTGGTTTCGAGTCCGTTAGACTCCCTAGTCTATACACCTTTAGCAAGGTGACCCCAGTCATATTTTGAGGCATGAGTTGATTAAGCAGCTGCCTAATCAGTACAATGTCATGTGGATTTGTATATCGTAGTTGAGTGAGTACGTTTGTCTCAGGTTAGCAGAGCTTTCGGATACCAGCAGTTATCACATTGCCAGATAGCAGGTTGGCTGACTGCAATGTGAAAGTAATAAAGTGATAATTAATGTGAAAGAGAAGGCGTTTTTTCAAGAATGATAAGTAAGTTAATCTATTGGTAATGTGTAAGAAGACAGAATTGAAAAAACAAGAAGAGAAACGAAGATGATAATAGGAGACATGGGAAGCAATTTTTGAGTTTTGGTAGTGTTAACCGTGATAATGTATGAGACATGCATCAGACACAAGGGTTCAATAGGCAGATAGTGATCCATAGGTGGATACTTGTTTGTGGGTTTTTCATCTCTATCCCGTCTCATGGCGCTAACCACATATACAGTCGGTTCTGAACTTCCACTAATTGTGACTAGTCGCTTATGGAACTGCCTCGTGTGGGGTGTATTGCTTGTTGAGTTTTGGGGTGGGGTGTTGAAATCTGAAAGTAATGATGGATCAAATCCCAGCCATTTTATCTCATCTTATTGGGCGTTAGAAACTTTGGGGGGCCGATATACTTCTCCGATCTACCACTTTATTCCATAGACATTTAAACAACACCATCATGTGTTTGCCGGCTTGGTTAATTTGGTAGTTTGGTGCTGTGGCTTTGGAGTGATTGTTAATCCACGTTGCCACTTAACCTCGTTTTTGTGTACTTTTGTGTATCTGAAAAGTGTTATGACTTGCAAGTTCGTTTTTCATCCATGGTGTCAAGGGAGAGCAACGTTTCAAATAGGGCCATGATCTTCAGAACTTTTGGAAACTAAACGTCTCTGATTCCTTCCATTTTGCTCCTAATCCCCATTACGTTGTTATAGAGGCACTTGACGGCTTGTATAATCAACTGGTACCTCTCTACAAAAGCACTTGTCTTATGGTTTTTTTTGACAGGTTGTTGATTAAGAATTGTCAAATTCTGTGAGAACCGGCTGTAATAGGTATTTTGTTTGTATGGCGTATCGTACTAGCGGGACAGTGGTTTCTGTGTTATGTACCGTGGGTTGCTGATCAAGATCAATCAACAAAAAGGGGTTTTCTTCGATGTTACCTTACTGGCCTAATTCGGAGTTCACAACATCTGGTGTGACTGGAGAGGCCGATCTACAGGCCATACAAAGCTTAAAGCGCCTTGGTTAAATCCTCTCGGTTTCTGAAGTTTACAACTATCAGATGCAGGAACTTAATAGTCGTGAGGTCTAACAGACGACATAATCTGGACGCATTAATCATCATAGTGGTGTAAAGGTCTACGACACATGATGGCCGACGTCACTGTTACATATCGTTCTGGTGAGCTTCATCTCGACTACCACCTACTGACTGAACCAGTCTGTAAACCACTATGCTGGTTGGTTCTTGAGTGTTAGATGATCATCGAGCTTCATCTGTTATTTCGTATGGCTTTTGTTCAACCAAGATTCGAGAGGACCGGTTAACTGATGGTTCTTAATGTGCCAGTAAAATCTCTTTTTTTAGCCTGTGTTTAT